TTTTTTTTTTTTTTTTTGGTGGGGGAGACAGAGTCTAATTTTTATCTTCATCTAGGTCTGATTATAAACACTGGCCAGATTCAAGGCTGGCGTAAGGGGTTTGCGCTCAAACAGCATTTCTGGGGTTTTTCAGATTGATAAGAACCTGAAGTCGCTGGAGCGGTGCCAATCCCTGGAGGAAATTCAGCGGCTTTATGAAGCCGGCGACTATAGGGCTGTCATACAGCTGCTCTGCCCTACTCTGTGCACCAGTGGATTTGACCGGGCCAAACATCTGGAGTTTGTGACGTCCATCCCTGAGCGGCCGGCCCAGCTGCTGCTGCTGCAGGTGTGTGCATTCCCTGGAGGGTCTGAGGGAGCCCTCAGGAGCACAGGCTTGGAAGGGAAAAAGCAGAGTTAGAACTACTGACTCAGCCCTCGGGAAGATGCTAGTCATAAGATATGGCCCAGACTAGGGGCAAGTTAGAGTCTGCGCGTGCAGACAGCAGGCTTCTGCCTGGCTCAGGGTGAGCCTCTCACTTGACTCTGAACTTCTGCATGGCAGAAGAGGAAGGAACAATGGCCCAGACATCATCTGTCCCTATACTCATTTCCACCCATTTGTTTATATCTTTTTTGATTTCTTTTTAAATTACTTATTGAATGGATATAAAAATGGATAAAACACCTGTAAAATGTAAAGAATCAAGGTAAAAACCACACATAATCCCATAGTTGAAGAAAAGGAACACCATCGTTGTGTTTGAAGCTGCATGTGCTTCACAGTTCCTTCTGTCTCTGTTCCTTGGGAAGTAAACCCTTCCTGAAAGCCTACCAGGGAGCCAGCAGCCCCTGGGCACTGGGCAGTTACTCAGCCTCTCTGAGCCTCAGTTCCTCATCTAGGGTGGGGTAATCAGAGTTCTTGCCGCAGGGGCCTCTTGTGGGGATCAGCACTACCTGGCATGCAGCAGTTGTCACCATCTTCAAGAGTGACATAGAAGCAAACATGAAAGATAACACACCTAATGTGCTTAGTGGCATTGGCTGCTCTGGAGTTGGCCCTATCACATCCTATCTATTATCTTACTGAGAGCTTCTTTTACACTTTGGAGACAGAGCCCAGGCTTCTCCTAGGCGTTTTGCTTAGATTGGTCGAAGCATTTTAATCATGAACTTTCTTAAACTGGGAAATAGTTAAGAGGTGTAACTTGTGGAAACAAAGTTGGTTTTGGGAAGGAGGAGGATGAAGGGAGAGGGAGATTCCAGCTCTTGATAGAGGAGGTCAGCCAGGCCCAAGCTGAGAATAGGGTTGAGATGCGTCTGACCCCAGTTATCATGGCAGGCTGTAGGGTGGCCCAGCATGGCTGTGTCTGGGAGGGACAGCCAGGTGTGCCAGGGAGAAACTTTGGTGGGGGTGAAGAGGGGAGAGGCTAGACCTGTCTGGCTCCATAAGTTGGCTCCAAGGCTCAGATGTTTTCTCATCTCACTCCTATTGTGCTCTGGAACTGCTAGAGCATGGTAGGGTGCTCCATTGATGGGGGAGGAGCTGCTGTTTGGAGGGACACTGAGCAGC